TTTTTTTTTTTTTTTTGCCTCTTCTCCTAAGTTACCTGCCCTGGACTCAGCCCATGTGACTCTAGTCAATCTTCCAAAGGGACAAGGCCATTGGGTCTTTGGAAAAGGTGTAGGAGGGACGTAGGGAGAATCAACGTGTGGAGGATCCTGCCTGATTGGTTTTTGAGAGAGATCAGAAGAACCCCCCCCCCGCTTCTCTATTTAATTCTGCCTCCAGGAAGTGCCTTTACCTGTTTTCAGTTTTACAGGAGTCTTTTATCAGCGAGTGGAATGCGACGGGTAGCTGAATTTTAAAGAGACACGAGGCCTTCGAGGGTTTGTTCGCTCACTTCTGAAGCGGGGGGGAGGTTGCCCGAATGCTGTTGGGTATTCTCATGTTTACCTGGAGTCTCTTCTCTTGGGCTAAGTTTCACTCGTTGGAAAGTTTAATAACATATAAACCCTCACATGTGCCAGGTAAAAACCTATCTACAGTACTTTAAATCCAGAGGGGGGGGGTTTCTACAGCAAGTGTTAATGTCTGTGTACTCAAGGATACATTTGTCAGCTAACAAGAATGAAAATGAAAGTAATTTATAATTGTTTAAGAAGATATTCTAAAGGGTTGATACTTCAGTCAGAAATTCCCTGTATTCAGACCCTAACCCTGCATGCTTTAATTGCAAAGGATCCAGTGAACTCCTGCTTTCCTTGAAAGCAGAAGCATATACCAAATCCCTTGCTGGTCATGGGCCTGAAGTGCAAGAAACTATAGTTCTTCTAACCTACTGCCACCCAGTAGTGGCTATTCCACAGGTATTACCCTCAATCTGATTTCAGTGGTTACACTTCTTCATTTTTTCTCCTTTACTTAGCTATGTGTAGGGGGTTTGGTTTGGCTTTTTTTTTTCTCTTATGAAACAAATTGGGAGAAACTCTTACTAAAATAAGTGGAAAAACTGATACAAAGTAAGGGCTTGATACTGCAAAAATGTACACAGTAGTTAGACTGGTTGAAGCCACTCAATTTAAAGCCAGCTAGTGATGGCTAGCATGTCTGAAATGTGTATCATATAGGGTTCACAATATTTTTAGCATCTGTTGTTTAAGCCTGCTGTGGTTCAAAATGCACAAAAACTTCAGTCCTCCCTATCCTACAGCTTCCACCATTGCTAGCTCTGCTGGAACTGCACAGAGAGTGAATTGCAAACACTGTATTTCTGTCCAGTGGGATTCCACTTGGTGAAAATCTCCCATCAGGTCCTAAATTTCAGCTGTGTTGGTGGTCTGCAGCCAAAAAATTAAGTTTATTTCATGCGTTATGGCACAATTGGTTGCTCTTACCTTGGGAAAAGGCAGAGCTGCACATTTCATTATGGCTGTTGAATGGACCTAGTTTTTTGAGAATTGTTTTATTTATACTTCTATTAATGAGATCTTGTAGTGGGGGGGGGGGGAAAAAACCATCTTGGAACACTACA